AAAAAAAAAAAAAAAAAAAAAAAAAAAAAAAAAAAAAAAAAAAAAAAAAACATACCAAGATGGTAGAAAACTACATATATTTCAACAGGGGGCCAAAATTTGAGTGATGGTGTTACGGACCTCGTAATTCTAGGGCGCTTTGCGCGACGCTTGGCTTCCGCCATAGCATAAAGCTTGGTCGAGCTTTGCAGATATGAAATTTCAACGATCCCAGGTGATCAGAGAGAGTTAGGGTTTCAGTGAGCGACTGTGAAGGGGCAGTGGGGGAAATGGCGCGAAGCAAAAATCGAACGTTAAACGCATGTACTTCGGATTTATTTTTCTTTTTTTTTCCAATTTTATGCCTTTTTTTTTCTTTTTAAATTTATTATTTACAATTCTCAAGTGATATTAGATTACTAAAAGTGTTTTTTTATTATTTATGCTTAATTAATAAATAAATAATTTTAAAAATCGATTATTATAAAATTTATTCTTAAGAAAAAAAAATTACTAACAAATTTCTAAATTAATATTGGTCTAAAATACAATTGAAAAGTTGAGGGTAATTTGGTAATTTAACCTACTTTAATTTAAGATTACGACTCAACGATTTCTCCGGTGAATTATTTTCCGTTTTTTTTTTCAATGGTAAGCACTGATCTGAGCTGAGCCTTCCATGGTTGAACTTCAATCACACAACGGAAGCATGCTGAATTTTAGTTCATCGCTGGTTTTGTTTCTCGTCGTACTTGAAATCGCTCTTTCGGAACGAGAAACGATTCAAGCAATGATCCTGATCCATCGTTTGGATTCGAAAACTTTATCTCCTTCGATTCAGGGAGCTGCGACAAAGGCGTTCTCTGGCAATTGCTTCCCACTCATGTAGATAGCTTCGAGTTTCAGATTGTTTCCAGGGTACTATTGGATGGAATTTTGATTTTGTTACCGTTTAAATCTGTTCTATTAGTTTTTTTATATCTCAATTGCATTTTTAAACGAAGTTGATTGGCTTAGGTTTGAGAATATGAAATGTGCCAATTGACATGCCCTGATTATGTAATGCATCTTCGTGCTTCTCATTATAATTTTCAAGAATTCTCCAATGTTTTTGAATCTGACTTCATCAACCTAATCATGTCTTCTGATTCTCTATTTATCACCAAGACGTTTGTCGATATGTAATTTCAAGTCCTCAAGATATTGGGACAAAGACTTCCCCGCTATACTTTGTTCAATTCCTTAGCTATTTCTAGTGGTCTTGTTTCCATTCCCAAGATATTGGTATAAAAAAGAGGGCCTAATGTGCCCATAACTATGGCAACGAAACGGGTTTGCGGGCTAGCAACGAAACCAGCTAAGAGCAACTCCAAGCTTTAGGAAGAATACGATCTCACTAATGCAACCAATTGAAAGCAAGGTCTAATTGCTTATTGCACTTCACGCGCAGGAACGGATCTTAGCCAATTACAGACTTGCTTTTGCGAGAGCACCAGTAAGCACGCGCAGGTGGATTCTCCCCTATTTTCAGGCTGCTAGACTTGGGTGGATCTAAGCACATGAAAAATGAGCCATGCAAGAGACTGTTAAGCGGAGCCTTGTCGGAACATCGGGTTGCCTAAATTGTCGAATGATACTATGCGGGGTCGATGCTTGCATACGCGCAAAGCAGCTATGCATCGGATATGTTGACTTAATTTACACGGCAAGTGCATTGAGAAGGGAATGAGAGCTTCCATTTGGAAGCATGGAGAAGGGAATGGATCATGTTCTCAAATAAATGGCAAGCTGCTTTAGAGTTTTACCACCCGGTATAAGCGAGAGGAATTGCAGCTGCTATTTCTAGAACCTTGTATCTGAATGAGTACCAGTTCTACTGCGTAGCTCTAAAAGACGCATAATGGAAAGCCTTAAAATCTTGAGGGAAAGCTCAAAGAAACAATATCTGTTAGTGGTGAGCTTGGACTATTACAAATGATATCAGAGCTAGACACCAAGTGGTGTGCCAACGAGGACGTTAGGCACCGAAAGGGAGTGGATAGTGAGATCCCACATAGTCCGTGGAAACCTCTCCCTAGCATACGCGTTTTCAAAACATTGAGGAAAGTAAAAAATGACAATATCTGCTGGCGGTTACCATGGCTCTGTGTTCAATCTAATTCTTATATTTTTCCCTTTTCCAAAAGTCTTGAATCTTCTTAGCTCTCGAGTATTACTCATCATTTAAGCAACTATGTAAATGGAAAGCAAATCAATATACAGTTCACATTGATATTTCCTCTTAACTTCGTCTACGAAAAAATTAAATATAGAGGAAAAATATAAGCCAAAAAACGTGATGATATGAACCACTACCAAGGAATTTCCATACCTTAAGGTCCAATTACAAGGACGAGAGCCAATAAACTACAATAAACCTTCTTATATTAAAGCTACGGTGAGCTCATCAAAAGAAATTCTTGAATATAAGTGTACAAGATTTGTTGTAATTTCTTGGCTCTCGTCCTTATAATTGGACCTTGAGGTATGAAAATTTCTTAGTTCCTCACATGGCTCCAAATTACACATACATTTGTACACTCATATTTTGAGTATATCCAACTCTTACACCAGCTCCTTCAGTAGCGGGTCACCTGCAGCCATGAGTCTCATAAGCTCAGCAAATTCCACTTCATTGGAAACCCTCCATGGATGAACAGCAGGAACTTCAGCAGCATACAAGTTTGTATCATTACTAATAAGTTGCTCAGCTGGTGTCTTCTTATACACCATTCGGCCGAACACGTCGTCGAAATTTAGGGGCAGATCCATTGCCATGAAGAACATTGGCACAGCTACTCTGTAGTCAATCTTGTAGTTGCCAACAAGAGCCACAAGATCCTTGAAGTCTCCCACAAACTGCCGAGGTACGTAAAACACTTCACAGTTACAAATCACGAGATCTCGCCCAGTCGGGTTACTTTCCTTATAGTTGACTTGAAAATCAACAGGCATTGTGTTCACAACCTTCTTCACCCAGCTTGCTTGTTTACCAAACCAGACAGAGTCATCACTGACTCTGGACCAAGACTGAGGGACCTGTGAGAAACAGGAATATTCATACGTTTTTCAACTGATCTATGGAGCAAGAGAGAGATAGAACTGAGACCTGCATTACCTTGTAAGTGATCCAAAGCTTATCTTTATCTGCTTGCAGTAAATTCCAATAGTTGAGAATGGTATTATCTTGCAGGAACAGGAAACCTTCTGCATTAGGAGATCTTTCAAAGACCGTTGGCAGGTACCTATAAAAGGAAATTATGACCTTTTCTACATAAATATTTAGTCATTTCTCATTTTAATTAGGAACTACGACCCAGATCCATCGCTAGCAGACATTGTCCTCTTTGGGCCTTCCCTTTCGGGCTTCCCCTCAAGGTTTTAAAACGTGTCTGCTAGGAGACCACACCCTTATAAATGGTGGTTTGTTCTCCTCCCCGTCCGTTAAGCAAAGATAATAAAGTAAAACGATACAATAACAATTTTCCCCTTAAAAAAAGTAGACTACAAGTTGAAAAGATACCAAGAACAAAGTACTGAAAATGTAATTATATTGAAGGATAGGAAGTTATTTACTTGTATATAAACTCCAAAGAAGCTTCCTCCACTCCCAAATCTGCCCTGCCATGCTCTGCCACAACCACCACAGTTTTGAAAATCCTTCCATAAAGCAATCTCCATTTCATGGCAGTTCTATCCACAACACCTCCATTTTCAACGAACAAGATCATCACCACATTGCCAAACTTCTTCCTCCACCTAACCAACTTCCCTATCTCGAAGTTCACAGTCTCAGATTCCTCCACCCCAAGATGAAAACCAGGCAGTTTTTGAGGAACAAAACTCCTCCCATTATCGACACCGACATTGCTTCTTCTTCCTCTTCTCTGTTTGTTCATTTCAAATCCCTTCAGTCTTGGTTGGATGTACCCAACAGAAACCAAATCTTGAAGCCAAGCCACACTCAGTTTCACGTCATTGTCCTTCCAAAACCCTTCCTCTGCCATTGAATGGCTCAATTCCAAAGCCTTCTCAAAGAATGTGGCCTTGTTTGATCTCCATGAGGTCAAGAACTTTACCAATCTACCCACATTCACATGGAGATCTTTCTCTTCTGAAAATGGATATCCTTCAATGTCATCGTGTCTAAACATTGTTGGTGGATAAACCACTACAAAACCTCCTACTTCCCATAAAAGCCTCTGTGCCCAATAACCCCTCAGGATATCAGAAGCCATTGTACTAACTGAAGCGGGAAGCATTAGAGCCCATAATGCTGACGTATGAAACAAAGTATTGAAAGAATTCAATGGTACCATCACGCCATGAGGCAGGGCGACTTTCGGGGCGTGCTCATCGAATCTTATGTTCAATGCCTCCGAACGTGTCTTTCGAGTGAAGTAAAACACTGAATCCACATCTGGTAGACCATTGGATATGCCCTGTTGAATGAACTGTAATCCTCCAAATACTTGGCTGTAGTGTTCTTCATACACAACATCTCCTACATTCTCCAATGGCAACCCTCTAGGCCAAACTGACCGCTGTCCGAAATGAATATACGGATTCACAACGGTTTTATTCGGGTTCTCAAAATCAAACTGCAAGATTCTCTCCTGCAATGTATCCACATTGGACAATTTCAAATCAAAATGCTTCCCGAGATCCCCATCAATCACTTCGCCCCGATCATCTGCATCGAATATCATTTTCGCTCCATGTTGGATAGCGAAAAGGTACCCAACAGTCTTTCTAGCATAAGAATCATAAGGAAGAAAATCCACAACTCTAAATCCTAAGCTAGATTGCTGCTCTAGAGACAGAAATATAACTCCCTTGAGACTCCAATCCGATGGAGTTCTAGAATTTCCAACAGCTAGTACCTGCCATCCTCTAGTTTTAGCAAGCTTTCGAAGTGAATCCGAAGGATAACTCGAAACGGAGACAACAATCCATCGATCAGAGCTAAAAGAGGCGTAAGTCGAAGACTTGTCTACAATGGGATGAACAGAATCAAAGTTGATATTGGGCAAATGAAAGAGGTCAGGGGGTTTGGGGCGAGAGTTGAAGCAGAGAAATGCAGCAGAATCAGGAGCTCCTTGGAGAAAGAAGAAGGAGGCGATTGTGAGGGTTAGAAAGAAAATGGTAGCGATTTTGAAGAGATTGAGAGAGACCCAGTTGGAGAAATCGAAAGGATTGGATTCAGGGAAGGTATTGGCGAGTGGGATTTGGTGGGGTTTTGGGCTCTGCCGATCCTGGACCAACATGGTGTACCAAAACAGTTCTCTCAAGCTACGCAAATTG